TACTGAGCCTGCTTTCATCAGACCTTGGATGAAAAACATGTCTCAATTCTGGATACTGCAGTCCAAGGATACTGGTACTGACAAACTAGAATATAATTATGGTGATAGTAATAGCACTTAGACTAATATACCGCTTCACAGTGCTTTACAGCCCTCTCTAAGCAGTTTACAGAGTCAGCATATTGTCCCCAACAATCTGGGTCCTCATTTTACCGATCCTGGAAGGATGGAAGGCTGAGTCAACCTTGAACCGGTGAGCCTCAAACAATACTGCATTCTAACTACTGCGCCACAACAGCTCATGATAGGCATAGAGTCCTATCTTGGAATAGTCCATCTACTTGGAATAGGACCAGAAGAAATGTGGTATATTTATCTTGAAGACATAATAGAAAATGATGTCCTTATCATCATGGGGGATTGGAATGAGAAAGTACGAAGCCAAAAGATAACCGGAATAACAGGCAAGTTTGGCCTTGGAGTACAAAATGAAGCAGGGCACAGGCTGATAGAATTTTGTCAAGAGAATACGATGGTCATAACAAACACTCTTTTCCAATAACCCAAGAGACGGCTCTACACATGGACATCACCAGACGGTCAACACAGAAATCAGACTGATCATGTGCTCTGCAGCCAAAAATGGAGAAGCTCTATACAGTCAGTAAAAACAAGATCAAGAGCTGACTATGGTTCAAAATTGGGAAAGGAGTCTGGCAAGGCTGTATTCTGTCGTCCTGCCTATTTAACTTATATGCAGAGCACATCATGAGAAAGGCAGGGCTAGATGAATCAAAAGTTGGAATTAAGATTGCCGGGAGAAATATCAACAACCTAAGATATGCAGATGATACCACTCTAATGGCAGAAAGTGAAGAGGAACTAAAGAGCCTCTTGATGTGGGTGAAGAATGAGAATGTAAAAGTTGGCTTGAAACTCAACATTAAGAAAACTAAGATCATGACATCTGGCCCTCTCAATTCCTGGCAAATAGATGGGGAAGAAATGAAGATAGTGACAGATTTTATCTTCCTGGGCTCCAAGATCACTGCAGATGGGGACTGCAGCCAAGAAATTAAAAGACACTTGCTCCTGGGGAGGAAAGCTATGGCAAATCTAGACAGCATACTAAAAAGCAGAGACATCATCCTGCCAACAAAAGTACGTATAGTCAAGGCCATGGTTTTCCCAGTTGCAATGTATGGCTGTGAAAGTTGGACCATAAGAAAGGCTGAGCGCCAAATAATTGAGGCCTTTGAACTATGATGCTGGAGAAGACTTCTGCGAGTCCCCTGGACTGCAATGCGATCAAACCAGTCAGTCCTAGAGAAGATCAACTCTGACTGCTCTTTAGAAGGCCAGATCCTGAAGTTGAAACTCAAATACTTTGGCCACCTAATGAGAAGGAAGGACTCACTGGAGAAGAGCCTAATGCTGGGAAAGATTGAGGGCAAGAGAAGAAAGGGATGACAGAGAATGAGGTGGCTGGACGGAGTCACTGAAGCAATAGGCGTGAGCTTAAATGGACTCCAGAAGATGGTAGAAGACAGGAAGGCCTGGAGGAATGTTGTCCATGGGGTCGCGATGGGTCGGACACGACTTCGCAACTAACAACAACAACCTATGGCTCTAGTTCCGACATGTCAAACAAAAGGCCCATGGGCTGGATCCAACCTGCCATGTGGTTCTGTCTGGCCCGGGGACCTGCTCTGGAAACAGCAAACGACCGGCCCGCGGCACCTCAGCCCAGCCCAGGCCAAGCAGGTGCTGATCTACAACCTAGTGCCAGCCATCAAAGCCAGAACATGCTCAGCCTTAGATCCACGGAGCAGCCCTGGAATTAGTGACGGGCGCCCCCACCCTGCCCCCCTGGGCACGTGTGGAAGCAGAATCTGACATCCCTGCTGCTGTCTTGCCCCGCAGGCTGACTTCAACCAGGATGCCGGTGCTGGCTGTCTCTTGTGCGTGGGGGTAGGGCAAAGGCGGCGGGGTGGCTCCTCGGTGGTTCCAGGGCTGTCCCGTGGCTCTAAGGCTGAGCGCATTCTGGCTTTGATGGATGCATCCAAGTTGTAGATCAGCGCCGCCACCCCCTCCCACCAGCACCTCCATGGCCCACTTGCTACCTAGCCTCGCAGCCACGAGTCTTCCCTTTCACTGGGATTGGCCCCGCCCACCCAGGATAGTGACTGCTGGTGGTAGCATGGACACCCGTAGCACTGGCAATCTCTCCCCTTCCCATCACCCCTTCCTGAGCACGGAGGAAGGAAAGAGATGAGAAGGGGAAGGAAGGAAGGACAGAAGAAAGGAAGGAAGGAAGGAAGGAAGGAAGGAAGGAAGGAAGGAAGGAAGGAAGGAAGGAAGGATATAATGAGAGGGAGGAAGGGTCTGAGGGAAGTCTTATTTTAGCACTTGGCCATGGGCAGCCCTGCTACCCTTTCGCCATCCCCTTGTCCCCTTCTCCTGACCTCTCCTGATGTTCTCCCATCCTATCACTGAGGATGCTTTGGTTACAAATCTGGGTTTCCTCGCAGGAAGAGGGAATAGGCCTTCCTCTGACCCACACATTTTGCCCTCCCGCATACACCATGAGCAACTTGGCCAAGGATAGTGAGCCAATCAGCAGCAGCCTTGAAGAGGAGGTAAGCACAGCCAGGCACCCCCTTGGGAAAGGCTGGATTGGGCGCTTGCCCTCCACTGCCCAGGGCTCCAGCAGCCTGAATCACTGGGGGTCCTCTGCATGGCCTGAGAGGAACAGCAAGGCTCCTCTGTTGGACAAGGGTATAGTGCTTGCCCTGGTCTCGCCTTCCTCAGCTGGAGACAATGGATTCCCCCAGCCCCGCCCGGGCTACCACAGGCGCCCCCCAACATGAGCAACATTGAGGTGGCCACGCCCACCCCCACTATGCCCATCCCAGCCATGCCCACCCCAGCCCCCCAAGGTCAACCACAACCCTGATGCGGCCCTCAATGAAATCGAGTTTGACATCCCTGCTCTAGCTTGTTAAGAGAGGAATAAGCCATTTCAGTCACTTATTTTCGCCACATCATTCAGAAAAATTCACTGGGAAAGCAATTATGCTTGGAAGAAATAGTGGTAAAAATATGGTGGTTGGACACCATCAAAGCTGATACCACCCAGAGCATAGAAAAACTCCAAAAAAAGTGCAAGATCAGAAGATGTAGAGAGACCCAGCCCATAGAATAGCCAAGAGTCAGACACGACTGAAGGGATAACATCATCATCATCAAGTCAATTCACATGTAATATTAAGCAGATCATAAATGGGGTTTCCTGGCTTGTTCAACTGATCTTCATGGTAGAGAAAACAAGGAAGAACTGACTGAGCAACATGCCAGGTTAGTTGCAAAAAAGACAAAATAATTAGAATTCTATCTTACTGTTATATAACTATTCTATTTCTATTACATAATCCTTCTGAACATATTCATCAATGTCCACATGCCAGTTTGGAACTGAGACACAATTATGTTATAAATGAAAAATTCATTCATTTCAGTGAAATTTAAGTAAGTTTAATATACAATGTTCAGTTGAAGACTTAATATTTAAACACCCACAAAATCCAATGGGAAGTTGTTGTTTTTGAAGACACATTCATAAACTGAATGTTATTGTTATGGAAACTGACTTACTAAAAGAAAGGAAGGTAGGATGTTGTTACAGCAACTGTAAAGTTAAAAGAAACCAAAAGTAGAAGTAAATGTTAGCCACCCTCAAATGTACTATCTATAACTCAAGTTTAAAAAGCCCAGATTACTATTTTTTATAAAATTTTCTGGATAGCAGAATTCTTACATAAGTCTTGAAGATTACATAACATTAAAGCACTAAATAAGTAAATAAAATGGTTATTTTGGTTGAATCACTATGAAATTCTTGAAGTTCTTTCTGTTACATTCTAAGCTTCATTCTAGGGTTCATTATGTACTCTGCTCTCCAAACAGGTAAGATGAATCAAACTGCATTAGAGTTCTAAAACAAGATATTCATTCATTCACTCATTCACTCACTCACTTGTTCCTTCCTTCCTTCCTTCCTTCCTTCCTTCCTTCCTTCCTTCCTTCCTTCCTTCCTCCCTCCCTCCCTCCCTCCCTCCCTCCCTCCCTCCATTCATTCATCACCAGGCTGCAGACTGCTTCTGGGTGGCTCACAATATAATATAAAAATAACAATCTACATGAACCAGTAAATTGATGGCAAATCCAGACAACACATAAAGCAGAAATCATACACTTAGCAAGAACTCCATCCATGCTAGCCCAAGCCTAGGAGGAGGAGAGGCAGGTATTTAAGGCCTCCAGAATGCCATTGAGAAGGGAGCCATCCAGATTTCAAGAGGAAGCCCATTTCAAAGGACAAAAACCACAACGAGAAGGCATCCATCTTGAAAAATGAGGGACTCAAAATACAACCATCCTATCAGTCCAAACAGGCCAGGCAGACAGTACTGAAATGGGCAATCTCTCAAATAACTGGATCCTATGCAATGTAGAGTTATAGAGGTCATACCCACTCCTGGTTATAACCATCCTAACTACTTAAATATTCTCTTAAACAATGTGCAGTATTTAAAACTATAGAAAAATGAAAGATTTGGTATATAGTATAATATATAGTATAGGTTTGCACCACCACTTCGGCAGAGCCGGTAGCTAATTTTTTGTTGTCCAGGCCCAGAACGGATTTCCTGAAGCAACATCCACACAGAGAACGGTTCACATATTTGAATCCCACCAATGGTTTGCACTCATAAAACTAAATACATTCTGTAACGTAATACAGTACTTCAAAAGCAAAGTAAAAAGATTAGATAATCATGGAACTTCAAAAATACATTCAGAGAAGTACCGTTCCTCACTGAAAGGTCACAGCAGATACCAAAGTATACCTACCATAATTTTAACCTATTTTATTTGAAAAACAAAATCACTGCTTCAAAATGTATAGTCACATTGTATTAAAGAAAATAGACACTGACCTTTGTGATAAGAATTCTATATTTATCCAACATCGCCTGATTATCATGACATCCTGCTAGTAACTGCCACACTTCAGCTCTCAAAGCCTCTGGTACACCTCTTTTCACCAATGAAGATAGACCTTTTGGTCGCATGTCCAGATTATTATGCCTAGATAAAATAAAATAAAAAAAATCCAGTTCAATTTTTTTCTGTTTCTCATGTTTCTATATGTGATATTGAAACTAGTAAGAAAATATGGAGGATTAAAATGGATACTTTACCACCATTTTGATCTTGCTAAGGTTATATTTAAGTATAATCCATTTCAATGCTATATCCCAGCCTGAAACCCAAGGGATTCATTTCCTCCAGGTCCTTCTGGAGCTGCAAGTCTAAAAATTGAAGACGGGAGTTACCCTAAACAACACTGTGGGGCAATTTATCTGTGGACACCATGACAGTGGAAAAATGATTACATTTTGCTGCTTTTATTTCCACAAAGTCACCCTTAAGAAAGGCTCTCATCCATGCTTAATTAGATTCAATATTGCTTTCTCCAGCACCATTTTAAACATCTTTTCTGTTGTTTCATCTCCTCGAATTTCTCAGAAAGCAAGGAAGTTCTCCAGTTGCACCTGTGATCCAATTCAAAGCCATGGCCGTCCCTTCATTCTAGATAGTGACAAGGACTTGATCTGAATTGTGCCTAAGAATGGCAGGAAAAGTAAAAGTTTCCTCTGAAACTCAACAGGGTCCATTAGACCCCTGAGGAGGACCCACTGAAGGGAAGACTGGTTGCAGGCAACTCTGGCTGACCAGTGACTGCTCCCACTATATCAATAACAAATGGTTTTCTTTGGAATGAAATCTAACTTACTAAAAATATAAAAAAATAAAAATGCATGTAACTTGCATACAACTTATAATCTAGCATTTAGTTAGTTTCATTTATTTTACATAAGATTTCAGACAATTGTAGATTAGATATTTTTTTTCTTCCATTTAGTCATGTTCATTTCTCAGTCCCTGCAGTTTTCTTGGCACAATTTTTGTGATTTGCCATTTCTTCCTTCCTAGGGCTGAAAGAGAATGATTGGCTCAAGGCTACCGAGCTAGTTTCATGCCTAAGGCAGATCTCCCAGTTTATAGCTTGATGCCTTAACCACAACACAAAACTGGATTATACTCCCCAAAAAGGCAAGGCCAGAACAAAGTAATTTAATTTATATTTTATTATAATTACATACTATTTCATTAAATAGTTAATAAGATTACCCTCTATTGGTATGATAATTTTCCTTTATGTGTTTTAAAATTACAGTTTGGTAAAAATAGGAGGGATTCCCCAAACAGCTTTCAACACGGGGACTGAGATTCTGGCATAGCTGAGTTAAATACTTCTAATAGAAAGCTTATTAATATTTTCCTACTCTGCAGTTCTGAAAGTCCCTTTTAAAAGGTAGTTTTAAAAAATTCTCTTTAACTCTTACCATCGCCCCAACAACTCTCCCCAAGAATACAGTATCTTCTCTGGACAATCTTTTGATACATCACCCGTACCACTTGAGAGTTCATTATCACTTCCTGCAAGAGAGATCAGGAGCAACAATATTGGTCAATATCACAATATATCCTTTATTTGAAGGTGGCAGTTAGGAATAAGCTGGGTATGCTGATGGTATATTGCCCATCCTACTGCTCAGCAGCATCTTTACTCAAGAAGCTTGACTTCATTCCCAAATGGGAGTAGTCCCCCAGATGCTAGACTGAGAGACTTCAGCATCCATATCCTGAGGGTACTCTCTCTATGGGTTAATCTCAGACAGCTCCTCAGTAAACTGAGATGAAAGAATAGAAAAAAAGCAATAAAGGAGCAAAGTGTTCTCTTGACTTTCCTATCCTTATTGCATCTTTCTCTCTTGCTATGAAACAGTTTGCTTGCAGGGTTAGGATGGCCCCTTCCCTACTGTCTTTTTGAAAGACATTCAAAAATCATGCTTTTTTACTGTGCTTTTGGGGCAAAGCATACAAATTAATTTGAATAATCCAAATTAAAGGAATAGTTCAGGTAGCAAAGAATACAGCAACACAGATCAAATGTTGGATAGTTGTGTTCCAACAGAAGGGCTGCCAGTGGCAATTTTCTTAAACAGGTCAGATGCAGATGTGGTTCAGTTATAGAGGCTTGAGTCTTTGTCCCTTGAAGAACCAAGCAGATCACCTTGCTTAGTTCTCCAAGCTGCCAATACACCAGGCAGGCCCAGACTCTGGTCACCCGCCTCCTTTTGTATGTGCTCTGGCTGATTATCTGCTGCCTTAGGCTTAGATGGTTCGTGATTGCCAACTCTTGAAACTGCCAATCTGCTGGATGAGGCACCTCAGCCTTTGATTCAGAAGAATGAGAGGAATTTATACCACTCATGAAAGCTTTGCAAACATCTAGTACAGATGTTTCAGCTAGAAGTTGATGTACATCTGCCTTTCATCAAAAATAGTTTCTCGAGATTCAAGGCTCATAAGGGGAAGAATATGTTCATAGCAAACAGTTCTGAAGAGACTATTTAATATAGTATTGCCTATACAGGAATTGCAAAAGTCCATTTTACTCTTACCCTCTTCAGCATCATCCTCTTGCAAAGAAATTTGATCAGCAAAGCTTAGTGGACTAATGGCTTCTTCCTCTTTTTCAGAATTGCAATGTAGATTCAAGACTTCATAGATTGCATCTCCAGTATTTGTACTGCCTTTTCTTTCACACTAAATACAAATGAGAAAAAGCATAATTTAATCTGAGCAATTCTAAATACTAAACTGATTGTTCATTTTTTCCTGTATAAAAATGAAAAAAAACTAATGAATAAAAACAAATCTATTGGTCTGACTCCATTAATCCATGTTTTTATAAATATTTTATTAATTTTCTAGTTTTACAATCATAAGTACTTAATAAACAACGTGTTGTCTGGTCCATTAGTAAATCAGTGGTACATATTAACTTCTTCAATCTAAGCCCAATATTACACCATCCAATGCTTCCTCTCTTCTTCTGATAGTACACATTTTCCCACACTAGGCAAATACAATTCTTATTGTTATTAATACATATACAATTGAATATCAACATCTTTGTTACATTTTCCTAATAATATCAATGTCGATTTAAAATATCTTTTCTAACCAAAATATATCTTAATTGCATTTGCAGTTAATATCCATTTGTTCAATTAATATCCTGTTTTCCCGCTTTTTTAAATTTTAATTTCCCATCAGTGTTCAAAATGTCTCTATCGTTTATAATTTCTCATAATAAATTGTATTTTGGTAACCAAAAGCTTCCTTTATTCAAACCCTCTTAGCATTTTCATATTTCCCTTCTCATACCAAAATATAATATTCTAGTTACAAATCTTATCTTTCTAGTCATAATAATACTTCTATTTCTAACAATTATTTATTCTCAGCCATGTTCAAACATCTGATTAATAGTATAATATCCCATCTAATGGGTCAACACCTCTATTTTCTTCAGTCTTACTCTAGCTTTCTTCCTTTGCCAATTAACTTTACAAGTCAATGCATTTGAATCATCAAGTAATTCCTCTATTTTTGTGCATATTGTTTGGAATAAGAAAGGCAATTTGATTAAAGTATTTTTGGAAGGACCAGCCTATTGGTATTTATTAAACAGCCTCCCTTCTCCAATTTCCCACAATTCTCCTAACAGCTCTATCCTCCGTTTAATCAGCTCTTCTTTCTTATCCTCAAGTGTGTTCTGAGATCTCAACAGGTAAGGTATCTTTTCCATTTCCGATATTATCGCTATGTCTTCTAATTCTTTGTTTGGCTGAGTCTGTCTGTTAGTTCCTTTCTTTAGGTCCTCCATCTTTGGATCTACTTCCTCTAGTTTTCCTTCTATTTCCTGGGTTGCTAGTTCCTTCCTTGTAGTCATATCTGAGTTTGTAGATTTAGATTAAAGAATTGTTCTTTTGTTTCCTTTGTGTTATTTTTAGTCTCATCATGAGCTAAGGCAATTGTCTCTTGCATTGATTTTAACATAGAAAGACTTTCTTTCTGAAATTCATCAACATTTTCTTGTTGGTATGTCAAGCTGGGGACTTTGGGGACGTCAAACTGGAAGTCTCCATTAAGCCATTATTGTTGCTTGTTAACACTGTAGCTAATTTAAAGTTTGACATGCTAAGAATACAAGAAGAGTAACCATTCAAAGTAGAAGTTAAATAAAACAGAATAAAATATAATGCAGCCCACTTAATAAATTTATTTTTCTGAAACATTTTGTTGCCTGAAGCTGAGAAGAGAAAGCACCCATGCAAAATATCCAAAGCCAGCCATATTCATTAAGCAGAAAATCTATAATCTCAGTGCCTATCCTGAGGAGTAAAAAAGTATTGTAATGCTAAATTAGTAACAAAAGATTTACTGTCTGTTCAAGATATTCAAAATGCACTGCACAAGGCAGGCTCCACACCCTAATAGGAAGGCCAGCTCCCAGGCAGCCATTCAATGCTATATTACAAAATATAATGATGACAAACTCAAAATAAAGAACATATCAAGTTACCTCCAAAAATCTAAGTGTATTGGACAGCCTGACTGATGCCTACAAGATAGCAAAAAAGGTTTTAGATGAATCTTCTGTTGAAAGAAAAATCATCAAGGTCCAGTTCAAGCTGGGAATAATCAAAATGGAGACTGTTTTAGAAAGAAGGTTGTGGTTTATTGAAGAGGAAAGCCAGACAAAAAGAAGGCTCTAGGAAAGCTGACAACATATAGTAGGGAGTGGGGTTTTTTATACCTTATTGGGCTTTTGCTTGGAGTTCTTCCTGTGGCATGAACTTTGACCTGAGTCTGAATGTGCCTTTCTGGTATTCTGATGGTGGTAAAAATCCTATTATGTCCCAAGGGTCATATCCTGCTTCCTTGGGGCTGTGGCTGATGACTATGTCCTGTGTTGGATTTTTTTGGTGTGAGGGATTGTTAATTCTAGGGATCTTTGTCTTTCTAATCCCATCTTCCTGGCTCCAATCTTTCTGACAACGTTATCACATCTGCATTTCTGCAGATCTGGTTTCTGTTTGGGGCAGAGAGACTTGGGGAGGTTTCTGCCTTTAAGATCCTTTGGGGAAATATAATATTCTGCCTTTTAATATTCCCAAAAATATTTCCTTTTTGGGGAGGGCTGATTGCCCACCATTCCCCCGTGGTGCTATATAAGTGTGGGTGACACACTTTTACTGGCACAAGATTAAAAACTAATCTGGTCAGGGAGACTTGATAAACAAGCTTTTAAACTGTTTAGCCAAAAAAAAAAAAAAAAAGAGGGAAGACACTAATAGAGGCAGCAGAAAAGGATCCCTGTGGTGGCTCCCAAAAGGGGAGCCTTTCAACCATGAAGGTCTAAAAAGTCAGGACAAAAGTTCTGTTAGGTGGAAAAGAAATTTATAGTGTCCAATATTCTGTGCCTATTATTTTAGATGTTTGATGCCACTTTGAGCTTCCAGTCAGGTTTGCACATTCCTTCAAAATTCTTCACATCCATGGTTTGCATCAGTACATAACCACTGGCTGACCATTTTTAAGGATTGTTTCCTGCCTTAACTCTTAGTTTAGTGCATCCAGAGTTTGTGATGTCCAATTGAGGTTAGCCAGTGTGCAAGCCAGTCTATTGAATTGCAACAGTGAGCCCTAGGATTCCCACTCTGAATCCACCAGTGCAACATATTCAGGGCTTGGGTTTTGGAGGTCTCTTTCCTGCTACCTCCTCAGTGAGAGCATATGAATTGCAAATCGCCTGAAGGGGCCTGGTTCCCTCTCCCTTGGAATTTCCAGGAAGTTGTGCATGCAAAGCTTTAGTGCCACATGGCAAGAACCAGCCTAAAGAGCTTTACTGAAGGTAGGTGAAGGGGATAGACTCAGTGCAATTCTGAATGGTGTGTGTGTGCATGTACGCATATGCACATGCAGCTACTAATAATGTACAAGCATCCTGGACAAATTTTCCTCCCACCAGACAGAAGTCCAAGGTGTTCAATACTTGCTGTGCCAACTATTCCAAAATGCCATCACTCCATGAATCCATTTAACTGGCTGATTATGTCAACGCTGCAAATATTGTATATTCTTGCTTTGACAATATGCAGAACTGTCTGATATTTTTGAGGTTAATACAGAGCATAAAGGGGGTGGGGGCAAAGTCAGGGGAAAGAAAGAGGAAGGAAACTTTTGACCTTCACACTAATTGGATAATGTGATATATGACAGCTAATTTAGGGAGGGAACATGCTGATAAATTAACTGCTCAGAGGAAGAGAACTTAGATCTTAGCATAAAACTTCGTTATGCCTGTGCAATAAAAGCAATATTAGGGAAATCAATGCCTGGAAGATCTTTGAAGTGTGTCATTAGCCGGAACCATAACAGATTACATTACAAATGAGGCATATTTGCAAGGAATCCTAAACACCTTCTTAAATCCTGGTATTAAAAATAAGTTAATTTTTTTCTTCTGCTGTGTCTCAGTTGTAATAGATATTAAGTATTCTGAATGTCTGAATGAAAAGATAGAATATAGATTGAAAAATAATTTTGAAATTTAACTTTATCTTCACCATTTGTTTTGTTTAGCGTAACAAAATTCTGACAGCTTTTAGACTATTTACCTAAGACACTGAATTTCTATTTCAATAAAATTATTAAATAACACTTGCAACTCTTCTGAATGAGAATTGTTAAAGTTCCAAAATTTCTTATTAACGTACACAAACTTTCACAGTAACTAAGATTCCACAGTTTTCATTAAAACATGTAGCATATATTTTCATAAGAATATAGCCTATAAATGTTATCAGCCAGTCTAGAAATAAAAAGATTAAAATATTCTCATATATGTAGGTTTTAAATGATCATTCAGTTCTTGAAACTCTTTCAGAATCTGATAAAAGGAACTATTTTTCAGATACGGTAAAGTATCGAGTTGGCATCAAAAAAGCAATAAATAAATGCATTAATAAAAAAAAGAATATGCTACACTTACTCTTGACATGAGAAACACAATTTCCTTTCATCAATATAATTTGCTAGGTATAGCCTCACCAGCAAAAAAGGGGAATTTCATGAAACCGGCTCTCCTGAATCTTTCAAAGCAAACAAATCATGTCACCCCTAAAGCAGCAGAGTATCCTACCCAAGATTTATTGCAGCTATTCTTATGAACAAAAATTCTTTACCCTACTGCTTTCCAAACAATCAATCTTCCAGTTCGTATGTAAAATGCCAAAATGAAAAGTCTCCATACACAATAGGATGTATTCCATAAAGTAAAAGGGGCGTTGTCTTACCTGAACGCCTTTTCTCAGTACGGAGATGGAGAATCCACCTATGGGTTTTCTCTGTCTGCCTGCTCTTGAGACCAAGTAGCCAAATTAGCCACGTCCCTCTTGCCAGGAGATCCAGTTTTAACGAGGGCGAAGCGGCTGAAGATGAACTTGACGTTGGCTCTCAATTCCCTAGAACGGCCTAACTGACCCTAGGGTGGGTGTGGATTCTCCATCTCCATACTGAGAAAAGGCGTTCAGGTAAGACAACGCCCCTTCTCCAGTGCAGGAGATGGAGAATCCACCTATGGGACATACCAAAGCCTCACTGTCCCGATGGGTGGGAAACAAATAAGGCCGGAATAGATTCCCCAAAGACCACTTGCTAGAGGACCCTCCTACCAAAGGAGGCGTCTGCTGAAG